CCCAGGCCAAGACTTGAAGGCCGGGAGGGGGAGTCAGCCAAGTGAATATCCTGGGGAAGGAGCTCTAAGCCGAGGGAAGACCTGGAGCACGTGTTCTAAGCAGAGTGGAGAAAAGGGTGCGAGGTCGCAGCGGGAGAGGACAGAGGGACAGGGGCCGGATGGGCGAGGAGGGCCTCAGGGGGCTACCCAGGCCGAACCCGAGAAGAAGGCACAAAACTGCATCTCTGTGTGGGACGCTGGACAATCCTCCTCGCTGGGAGCTGGTCCCGGGAGAGGAACTGGGGACCTTGCTGAGGTCACTTATCCTCACCAGGGCTCACTGTCCACCCCCAGACACTGAGGCGCTCGCGCCAGATTCCATGACGGTCTGTGGCTCCCCCTCGCCTCGTACTCCAGTGGGAAACGTAGAAGACACGCTGAGGTCTTGGCATGTGGGAAGTGTTCTGAGCCAGACCTGGCCACCTGCTAGCTGAGTCACCTGCAGCAGGTCACTAAGACTCAGCCATGGCTCTTCATCAATAAAACGGAGATGAGGTGGCCGACCTCTGGCATCCAGTATCAAACTGAGAGAGGACGTTCGTGGAAGACGGTAAACCGCACGGTGCCGGGAAGGTCGTAAACACCGCTATCCTCTGCCTTCTTCTCTCTGAACCAGCCCAGAAACGCACAATGTTCTCACTGCCTCTCAGGCAGTGGACATGTGAGCAGGAGATGGGCCTTGTCTCTTCAGGATGAGAGGAAATGATTCAAATTGTACAAGTGCAATTAAAGTTAGATAATAGAAGAAACTTTGTTTTGGAATCCCAAAGGGGCGTGTGAGATTTCTTTGAAAATTTCTCAGAAAATACTTATAACAATATATTAAGACACTAATCTCCCCAGAAGCAAGGGAATGGATAAAAAGGCTTTTCCAGACCCTTCCTTTCTGGAAATTGGTATTCAAGTAAGAGAGAAATGTAAGCCAAACCATCTTCTGACTCCAGGTTCCGCTCTGGGGTGGCCAGATGGACTAATGGGCACTCACAGGAGAAAATGGCCTCTGTCCCTTCCTCCCTGAAATTCAGTAATTCTGTTGAGTTAGAAATCTAAGCCAATCAGCCTTCTGTCCCCCAGTCCGGCTCTGGGGTGGCCAGATGGGTGAATGACTGGTCAGTGGCCCCACAGGCCTGGCCTTTGCTGCCTCTTGCTAGTTCTGGGTGCACTTTCCAGGACGACCTCCAACCTGGAGACCACCCTGCAGTCGGCTCTGTTGTCTGAGGTGCAGAAGAAAAGCTTCCATCTCAAGAAGAAGAAAAAGCTAATATGGGATAGAGATTTGGGAAAAGGGAAGGGACGGTTTCACCCTACAGGAAGGAGGCACCCTCAAGAGGCTGGGGCATGCCCTTCTTGGGCTCCCATAAGGACTGGGGTGAGCCCTCTGTCTTCCTGCGCCAGAGAAGAGGGGGCGGGAGAACAGGCCTGACCGCTCTGCTGTCCCTGGGGCCCACCAGCCCCTCACGGTCCATGTGAAGGGGCGCCAGCTCCCTGACGAAAACAAGCCCCTCACCTGCAAAGCAGAGCAGCGGTGATCTCCAGGCAGGAGACCAGTGGACCAGGCAGCCCATCGCGGCCCCTTGGGTTCCGCTCTGCTGGGGTGCGTCCCCCTCTCAGACCATTGCTGCTGCCTCAGGAACAGCCCCCTTCCTCTGCGCCCCCTCACTGTGGAGGATGAGGGCTGGGAGCTCCCACATGAATACAGATTAGGGCAGGGACAGGGGATGTACGCAAAACGGTATCGGAAACCGAAACAGCCTTGAGCAACACAAGCCCGGTGTCCAGCCGGTGGGAGCTCACTGGTCCCTCTTCCTCTCCTCGGGGGGTGGGGGGCAGGGTAATCTCCTGAGTAGCCCCATGGCACAACCGTAAGCCCCCCACCTCCAAGCCCTTCCCTAGCAGGTGGCCCCTAGTGGGGCCAGATGTCACTACAGGTTGCAGAATTTTGATAAGTTTATAGGTCTGAAAAGGTCAGGCCCTTTAGTGGTAAAAGTTTTACAGGCCAGTAAAAATTTACTGGAGAAGATGGGAAACAGCTGTAGCACAGAAGGCTGGAGCCAGGGGTCTGGGGGGCCTCGGTTCCACCCGTGTCAAGCTGTGGGAATCCAGGCAAGTGACAGAGGCTCTCTGAGCTCTATGTTTTCATCTGGAAAATGGGACCAAGACAAGTAACAAGGGCTGTGACAACGTGCAACAGGCTGGAGGGCGGGTGGGAAGCTCTGGGCACAAGCTCCTTGCCCTGGGCTGGGAGCAGCGGACACAAAGGGGAGGCCAGGCCCAGGCGCTGCTGTCTCAGAGCTCCAGTATGCGCTGGAGGGCTGCCATCTGCCGTCTGCCTCCACTCCTTGGGAGGAGCCGGCCGTCTGCAGGCAGAGCTCCCGAATCGAATTAGCCCGGCCTCTGCTCTTCCCTCATCCCCACCGGCCAAGGAGAGTTCATCAAGGCCTGGCACTAATTCTTATCTTGTTTAAAAGGCACAAAAGTGACTCCACGGTTTCACTGGAGGCAATTTACACCCCGCCCCTGGCCATGGCCCCATCTCCCCCTGTCCATCGCCCCATCAGATCCATTAATCGGAAATTTCTTCAGGGGAAACTTGATTGCTGCACCATCAGAGAAACGGGCAGGCAATCCATCTCCATCCAAGCCTGTGGCCTGGCTGGCTGGCTCTAATCCTGTTACCTAAGAGGCTAATTCTCTAATGAACACTGTGCACAGGATGGCCTCTGCCCTCCCCAACACGGCTGGGCCACCCCAGGGGCTGCCAGGAGCTCAGTGTTATAGTGGCGGCCTGGGGCCCATGGGGCAGGGCCCGCAGGCCCCTCATGGCCCCCAGTGGGTCCTCACGCACACCGTGGCCGCCCTGCCCTCCACGGAGTGGACGGTCCCCTGTGCAGAGCCTGGCGGGGGTGGGGTCGGTCCACCGTATCCCCCCCACCTGCTGCCTTCGCACCACACCCGCCTGCCTTCTCGGGTTCCTCCCAGTTTTCCCTTCTTTTCTTACCTTCCCTTTCTTCCTCCCTTGCTTTGGCTTCTGTCCCTTCCCTGTGTCCAGGCCGCCCCTTGCTGTGGCCTTGCCGTCTGTACACCCCCTGTCTCCCCACTTTCTGCTGGGACACCGCCTCCGCTCAGCGCCGCCCCTGCTTCCTCCCGGCTCTGTCTCCTCGGCCTCGCTGGCGTCACCTTGGAGCAGGAGAAGGGAGACGCACAGGGAGCCCCAGGGCACCTGGGGGAGAGGTCAGGGCCCGCGCGGGGAGATGCCACGTGTCTGATCTTTAAGGGCAGAAGGCCCAGGTGGGTTTGATGCCGCTAAGGGCCAAGCTTGGTGAATGGCCCTCTGAAGGCGCCCGCCACTGAACGGTAGGATGCTCTGTGCAGCCTTCGCAGCGCACGGAAGCAGGAGAAGTCCTAGAAATCAATGGCAGGTTCCTGAGTGGCAGTTACCATAAATGGAGGTGGCGCAAGCGTAAGTAAGAGTCTCTGTCAATCTGGAAGGTGGGCTTGAGGTGCGCTTAGGAACCCACGCATGCCCCACCTGCGTGTGAGCCCCTCAGGACCTCAGCCTGGAGGTTCTTCTCACCTGGCCTTGTGCTGCTGTCAAGCCTGGAGTCTGAGGACCCTTGCTCTGGGGGCAGGGGCTCTGGCTCTTTACATTCCCTACAAGTGTAGGGCCCCCCATCTTCTCCTGTTGTCACTCGCCCTTACCTCCAGTCCTCCAGAAGGGATTCTCGGCAAGGGGTTTCCCGCTTTTCTGGATTGTGCAGGGCGAAAGCACAGGACTTAGGAGGAGGGTGGCCCACCTCCTGAGTGTGAGCAGTCCAAGGCCAAGCCCCGGCGACAGGCCCTCTGAAGGGGCACCGTCAGCACAGGAGCAACGCTACACGCAGATTTCATCACACATGAGAGTAAGGGGAGAATCCAGGCCAAACAGGACTCCCCCAGCCAAGGTGACTTTTTTTTTTAATTTTACTACAATTCAGAAAATTTATCCTCCTAGAGTGTTCTCAGCCTATTCTCCTTAAATTCAGCTGGAAAAGGCATGAAAATGCTTTGCGTTGAAGCTTGCCGTGAGCTGAGTAGAAAAGTCTGCTTCCATTCAACTGGTGACGCGGAGCTGGGACTCCTTCGAGGAGGAATTCACAGCACTTCTCTTCAAAGACTGTTTTGATGGCACATGGTTGGGCCTCTCAGGGAAAGATACTTGCCTATTCAACTTACAAAGAAAAAAGAAACACTTCTTTCGAGAAAACAGCACTTGAACGTTTTGCGAACGCCCATGATATTAAGCAAAAAAAGGGTCGGGACACAGAATAACACGTATTACATATTTATTATATACATATTAGAGGAGAAACTAAAAAAGAGTGAATACCAAAATATGAACAGTGGCTGTTTTGGGGCAGGAAGTAAGCCTATGGATGATTTTAAATTGTCTTCCTATTTTTCTGCAATGATCATGTATTACTGTTACATTTTTATAGCATGTACTATGTATTTTTAAATATATAAATGTATAGCATAAAGTTATATATATATGCATATGTATGATTACTTAAATATTTAAATATGAATATTTAGATGAGAACCAAAGAGCAGACATGTGCTGACCCCAGGTCCCCTTCCTCCATCTGCAGAGATGCCCAGACACCTGCTCAGCCTGGGGCACCCTGTCACCCTGTGGAGTAGAATGGCTTCCTGCTCCTCCTCCGCCACCCCACCCTGCCACAGCCCAGTGCCACCAGCCACGTTTGTCCTGGGACATACACGAAGGCAGCCGCCTGGAGCCCCTCCCAGCAGGCAGGCTGAGCCCCTACCCCAGGGCCTCCTGCAGCCCTCTGTCCACAAGCAAGTCCTTGGCGAACTTGGCCAGGCCACCTGGCTGCACGGCTGCGCCCAGCTCCGCGGCATGACATCAGTTGGGCGGGCTCCCCTCTCTCTGGTTCCCGCCCCTTGCCTCCCGCCCTGAAACCTGATCCAGCTGGTGGGCTGATTGCAGGAAAACTTGGCAGCTTCCCACCCCGGGGGCCTGGGCAGCGCGAGGCTGCGGCCTCATAAGGTGCGGGGAGCAGGCGGGAGAGGCAGGCTGGCTGGGACGGGAGGCCGGCAGAGGCCGGGCAGGCTGGTCCTCCGCAGGACTCACGGTGAAGGCCCGCCGAGGTCCCATGCGGCGGGAGGCTCACCATGCTGTCGTGGGCGCCCTCGCTTCTTGCCTTCCTTCTTCCCACCCTCCTGGTCCAGGGAGAAGGTAAGGGGCCGGTGGGGGAACACGTGGACCCGGCTGGCCATCAGCAAAGGAGGGTCAGGACACTTGACCCCCCCAAGGGTGAGGGAAGGGGGCCTTTGAGTGGGAGCTGCTGCCGGAAGGCCGGGGGTCTGACCACAGACGAGCACCAGAGAATTACACAGCATGTGGCCCCGGGTTGAGTGCTGGGCAGCAGCCTGATGGGCCAGCAGTACGCACACAGGCACGGTGGGGGGGGNTGCCCTGCCCCTAAACTCATCGAATAGCAGCTGCCAGAGACCTTCGAGCTCATTTGGGCCACTCCTTCTTACTCACTGGAAATGCTGAGGTCCAGAGAGGGAGTGAGCCACTCGAGGTCACACAGCTCCAGGATGGGAGCCAACCTAGCCATGTTGCCTGGCTCTGCCCTGGCCTTGATTCCCCAAAGCTCCCATCCAAGCTCCTCTCCAGGAGCACGGAACTTCTCCCTGCCATCCCCCTCGCATTCTTTGCTGCCTCCATGGATACAGGGTATTTTGGTCCCTAAAAGTTCCCTCCCCCTTTGCTGCAGACAACATTCGCTGCCCACCTTGGAAGCCTTCCTCCCCACTGAGAGCTGGGCTGAAGCCGGGCCTGGGGCGCGATCACGATGGCGCCCAGGCCCCGGCAGCTATGAGGCTCCTCTGGGCCCAGTGGTCCCCCTCCCCGTGAGCTGTCACGCGGAAGCTCCGAGGCCCAGGCGGACCCAGGCTGCAAGTCAGGGCCAAGGCCTGGGGCTTCTCAGCTGAGGCCAGGCTCTGCCCCTCCCAGCAGTGGCCCCTGGCTCCGAAGCCTGTGGGGCCCATTCCCATTCTCTCCAAACTGCTCAGATGCCCACACAATAGGGTTTGGTTTCATGAAGACACAGGGATGTGGGTCTGAGTCGCGGGTCCTCTACTTGCAAGGCTCACCTTTCTGAGCCTTGGGGATCGTTCTCTGTGAAATGGGCTATCGTGACAGTCACCCAGTGGACTGTGCTAAGATTGAGATAAAGAATATGTTGATTGTCAATATTATTCCAAAGGAGACACTCAATAAATAGTCACGTGTCTTCCCTCTCTGCTCTTCTCTATCTTTCTGAGGGAGCTGAAAGTTTATCAGTGACCTGCGGCTGGGGCAGGTCGGGGAACCACAGTGCCAATTTGCTATACAGGCTGCATGCTTGGTAGACAGGACGAGCGGAGAGGCGGTCTTGTTTTGAGAAGGCCACGCCTGCTGGCACCTGGTCTGGGACAGACCCTGGCCTCACCCGCCAGTCCCCGCGTGCCCTGCAGCCTGTACCCTGCAGCTCTAGGAGTCCCCCTTTCCCACCCTATGCCTCCCACCTTCATATTTCTCGGCACCTTCCTGGAGGTGCTCTACTGCTGCCCAGAGAGATGACCGAAGTGCACGCGACACCCCCTGGGTGGCCTGGACGTTCTCGTCCCTCGCCCTTCCTTGCTGGCCTCCCGTTCTGGGAGCAGTCTGCTCTCCCCTGCTTCCTCCATGCCTCACTGCCAACCTTGTCAGATGGGCCCGGAGAGCAGTGCTGACAGGGAGGCCTGGCAAACGCTCCCTTGGCAGTTTGCATGGGGGTCCCCAAGAGAGGCTGTCTGGGGGCTGGTCTGCAGGAGGGAGAGGGAGTGCCCCTTTGCCCTGGTGCCCACCGCCCTTGTCACTGCAGGCTGGGGCCACAGAGGCCGTGAGGAGCTGTGCAGGTGTGAGATCTGACCTTCGCTGAAGCAAAGCTCATGCAGACCATTGTGCTGAGAAATTGTACACTTGGGGCCACCTTTTCTTGCATCCCTCTCACCTTCCAGAATCACACACCCAGGGCCACCCTTCCTTTCATTCCTCGGAGCCCCTCTCCAGGGCCCCACAGGCCCACCTGCCCCGGGCAGGTACTGACTCTCACCTTTCTCAGCCCTTGGCCTGCCTGAGGCTCACCTGTCCCATGCCACCTGCTTTTACCACCCAGCTCCTTCTTTCACATGAGTGTGCAGGTGACTTCATGGGACAATAGCTTTGAACTTTAGCAGAAATCTCTCCAGGCAAAGTGCTCCAGCGATGGGACTTTCAGCTTGTGGGGACATCCGGGGACTGAGTGGACGGTGGGGACACTTTCCTTTGAACAGCTTCCAAAGCTCAGCGGCAGAGCCTGGGAAGACTCAGACCTGTAGGTCCACTTCGAACTGTGCTTCCCAGCCAGGCACCACGGGGGCCTCTGGACCCACAGCACCAGGCCCGCCCTGCTGAGGCTGTCAGACTACCTCCTGGCCGGCTACAACAAGGGCGTGCGACCTGTGCGGGACTGGAGGAGACCCACCACCGTGTCCATTGACGTCATTGTTTACGCCATCCTCAGCGTGGTGAGCACTCAACCCCAGCCTGCGCAGCTCCGGGGTCCCGGGGCAGGAGACCACATGACACCGAGTCACCCCCCCACCCCCGGTGGGCATTCAAGTACCCCAGTACCTGGGGTCCAGTGTCTCAGCTCAGACAGACTGCAGCACCCGCCAGCTGCCGGCTACCCAGACCAAAAACCTGGGGTCACCTGGGTGGCTGCCTCTCCCACATCCCTCCGGGTGCATGTGGCTCCTCACCTGTCACTGCGTGGCGGTCTCCTTGTGGAAGTCAGGTGAGGGTTCACACCGTCCTGCTCATCTCCGTGCTGTGGGTGTCTCACACGGGCTCCTGGTAGATGGCAGGTATTCCTAAGTGGTTGGTGAAGCACTAATCATCCATCAATTAACTAATCCATTCCTTCCCCGGTTACTGTAGCTGGTGGGGTGCACTGCCCAGCAGAGGGGGGCGGACACTGTGCAAAGAGAAACAAGAGGCAGGGATGCAGTGCGTGCTGCCAGCTTCCTGGCCACTGCTGTGATCCGTGTGGCTGTTCTGGAAAGAGAAACTGGGATCAGAGGGAGGGAGGGAGAGGGATGAATTTTCCATTCTGTGTGGTTTTGTACCTCTTCACTTCATACCAGCACAAGAGACAGATGTAGGGATACAGATATATATGCATATGGAAATATATATAGAGAGAGCGGGTATGATATTGTTACATATGCCTTCTATTGTGATGTGAAGTATGTATGCAAAATATCTGTAACATAATAGGCATATATAATGTGCATAAACAACATAATAGAAGGTAATAGAAGGTAGATATAATTAAACATGTATATATATATTGAAGTTAAAGAAGAAATTATTGCATTTCTCTCTAGTTGTGTCCTAGTAAAACAGCAAGTCTTCCTGCCTGGCCTCTTTCCCCTGCCTCTCTTCTCCACAATCCCTTCCCGAGGAAGCAGCTGCTCCTTCTGGGGTTGGTCTGTGCATGGCGGGACCCCAGCCTGCAGGGCCACCCACATTGAGCTTCCTTTCCTTTCACAGGACGAGAAGAATCAGGTACTGACCACCTACATCTGGTACCGGCAGGTGAGCAGACCAGCCTGCGCCCTTCTGTTTCCTGGGCCTGGGCCTGGGCTGTACCCTCCCAGGAAGGACTTCTCCACCCCAGAGGGTCAGGCCTCTTGCTGAGGGAAGCAGGGGAGGTTCAGAGGTTTACTGAGAGGTCCAGGGGTTTGGACTCTGCAGATCTCAAGACAGGGTACAAAAGAAAGCTTGTGTATCAGTGGATGGAAAGTTCTCCGAATGCCTCTGTTTTCTGAGGTTTCTCTCAGCATCTCAACAAGTGCTTTCCTAACGTCTGTGGATCAAATACCTCCAGTGACTGGGAGCTCAGAAGGCAGCCACCTCACTTGCAAACAGCTTTAATTGCTGGAAAGCTCTTCCTTCCATTAAGCCAAGTTGGATGAGAACCAAGGGCGATAACAGGATAACTCCATCCACTGAGCCCTCACAGTCTTGGCCACCTCCCCACCCTTCCAGATTCTGACGGGTACCGGTCAGGCACTGGCAGCACTTCAGGGTTGGAGCTGGCCGGGGACATCTGGCAAACGGGGGGGTGGGGGCTGCTGTCCACAGATGGACCTGCCCTGCAGCCTCTGAGGCTGGGGAAGATGTTGGGGCAGAAGGGGAACCCAAAGTGGCTGAGGAGAGGGGGTTAGGATGGGGGTAGGTTATGAGGTCAAACTGAGAGGGGCTCTGGGGATGCACGTGGCATGTGTGGGTCTATGTTAAGTGCCCCTCATGAGCACCTTCCTCCGGCTGCAGCGTGTGGCCCCTTTCTGCCTTAGAGAGGTTCCTAGTGCACAGCACACCCTGCCTCAAGGGAAGGGGCCCAGGCAAGCACCAGTGGCCCCGAGCTCCTTTCTGGGAGCCCCAGTCTACTATGTACCAGCGGCTGTGCTAGGGGCCAGAACTAGAGACGCCAACTAGACTCAGGCCCTGCCCACAGTCAGGCAGATGTGGTAAGCCACTCCGTGTGGTAAGGACAAGATGCCAGCTGTGGGAACACAGAGGAGGCATGAAAAGTCCAGCGGGGGAGGGGAGCCCCAGAAGGTTCCTAGAGAAGGGAGCTCGCAGATGCCTTGGCTGGGCCTGCAAGGCTGGGGAAGACTCCCAGCAAAGAAGGCAAGGATGGCGGTGTGGGAGAGAGAGCAGGGTGCGCAGAGGGAGGGCAGGGTGCGCAGAGAGGAGGGTGTGCAGAGATGTCCAGGGGCTATGGTGAAGGATCTGCAGGGAGGCATGGTGAAGCCAGGGAGGCCAGAGGGAAGCCAGAGAGGTGCAGGCAGGACTGAATCAGCCTTTATGGGCCATGAGGTGAGGCTCGCTCGTCCTAAGTGCAGCGGGGCCCTACTGATGAACCTTAAGGGAGGAGGCAGCGCCATGAGGCCTGCCCCGGAGACCTGTCATAGGGCAGGACGGTGGGGGGGTGCACTGCTCACAGCCTCACAATGGCCACCTACCCTGTGGGCCCACGTCAGCACCTCCTACACGCGGGCAGACCAAGGCACAAGCAGCTGTTTGTCTGAGCCCCTCAGTGCGCAGAGACGTGTGAATGCCGTCCCAGAGAGGCTGCCCTTGTCGGTGCATGCATGTAGGCAGCGTGTGAGGACAGAGGTGGGGACCCCCTGGTGCTGCCGAGGGATCGGTGCCACCAACACCCAGATTCCGAGAAGATGCCCGCCTGTACCCCGGGCACTGAGCCGGGGGGCTCAGCCTCAGTTCTGCAGACCCAGCCCGAGTTGGAGCGGGCCGCCCATGACCGTGCCTGCTCCTCCCCCAGTACTGGACCGATGAGTTCCTCCAGTGGGACCCGGGAGACTTTGACAACATCACCAAGCTGTCCGTCCCCACGGACAGCATCTGGGTCCCCGACATTCTCATCAACGAGTTGTGAGTACTGCCATCAGACGCTGGGTGGCCGGGCCGGGGTGCATGGTCACTGCTGTGCCCTCGGGACATCCCCCCAAGACTCGCAGAGCGGCAGAGAAAGCTGGCTTGGGCCCCAGCTCCCCATTGTCTTTCTTTTAAAAAACTTCTCTTTCTCTATGCCTGATGTTGAAACTCTCCACTTCTTGGTCCAAGGGTCCCTTCTAGGGGAAAAGGAGCCAGTGAATGAAGTTATACCATGTAATAGCCGAGTGAGGGACAGTTGCATTTTTAAGCGGGCAGTAGTATTGCTGAGCAGAGTGAAGCGTGGGTAGAGGTCACGGCTCCCGGTCTCCAGGCAAATGAAGCCCTTTCCCCGGCCAGCGTGGATGTGGGCAAGTCTCCAAACATCCCCTACGTCTATGTCCGGCATCACGGTGAGGTGCAGAACTACAAGCCCCTCCACGTGGTGACCGCCTGCAGCCTGGACATCTACAACTTCCCCTTCGACGTTCAGAACTGCTCCCTGACCTTCACCAGCTGGCTGCACACAAGTGAGTCCCTGGGCCTCAGGGCCTGGGTGCAGGGCGGCGGTCCCTGAGACACCCAAATGGAGACCACACCCTAGGGTGTGCGCTCCTTCACCCCATGTATTCCCACTTCCTCCCTGAATGCCCCTGGGCCTGTCTCCTCACGCCCCACTGGGGCCCTCACAGCCTCCCTCCACTGTCGTAAGGCAAGGACACAGCGCAAACTGACCCCTAGGCCCCCAGGAAGGCCAGGTCAGGGCCTGTTCCACAAGCCCCCTCCGGCACTGTCTCTCCAACCCACAGCTTCTCCTCGCCACCATGCCCCCTCCCCTAAGGCCTGCTGCCCCATCTCTCACCCAGGGCTCTTAGCAGCCTTCCAGCCCATCCCCCTCATTCATTCTTGTCCCTTCAAAATCATGCTCCTCACAGCAAACAAGCAGTTTGTCTCATTAAAATGCAAATCTGATCATGTCACTCTCTGTTTAAAAGCCTCAGTGGCTCTCCAGCTGCCTTCTTTCCAGCCCCAAAGCCCCTGTCCTTCGCCTGCACCCCCCGCTGCTTCCTCCCTCGGGCCACCTGGGCCCCTCCTCCTCCCTGTGCTGCCCCCACCCTCCGTCCTCCCCTTCCTGCCCCCTCCTCCCGCCTCCCCCAGTGTGGCTGACTCCTCGCAGCACCCGTGTCATAGTGGAATCCCTCGTCCCCAGACTGGGTACCCCCGCTGCCCATTTCACAGCGACCCACTCTCCCACTCCTCCTGAGCTTGTGAGTGCTTGTGTCTGCTCCCCTAGCAGGTAGAAACTAGGGCAGGAACATGATTTCTGGTCTGCCGTCAGACCCCAGGGCAGTGTCTGGCACAAAGGGCGCATGATGCCAGGAGCCACTAAGGTCTACGGAGGGTGACAGCACCCCACTGCGAGCAGCAGCCCCCACTTCTATTCCGATTTTAGTGCGTTGACTCTAAATGACAAAGGTAGTACATAACTTCCTTGAAGTACAAATAACCTTTGACTTTTGACCTCTGCCCTCAATTCCAAACTCTTTACCAACGATTCATTCACTGATATTTAACAGCTTTTATTGTAAGAATAGTACGGTCTTCTAGATCCTTCTCTATCCTTGGCATACGTACATGTGCATACACATGTATGCACATGTACATATGTGCATGTGCACAAACATGTATGGAAAATACTTGGAAATTATTTTATACATTTGTATTTTACATAAATATGTCATTTTTCTCTGTATCAATATTTAATCATAATATTTTACATTTATCATTTATGTTGAATTTTATTGAAGTTCAACTGAATCATAGTCATCTTTGATAAAGTCCAATAATACAAATAAATTCAAATATTAACAGCAAAATTACTTTTGTGTGTCTATGAAATAAATGTCAATGTGTTGCTTTTCTTTTCCACAGAATAATGGGAATTTCTTTTCTCTTTACATATCTTTAAAAAGATTGTCTATAAGGTACATACCATAAAATGCACACATCTTTGTGTACAACTCGGTGCATTTTGACTTGTGTACACATGCATGTAACCATTGTCCAGACCGAGATATCAAATATCCTTGCTAATTTTTATCCCCTTCACTTAAATAAATGTATCGCTTATGCCATGCTGATGGTTCTTTCACTGGACAAGAATATTGTCTTGGACATATTTCCAAGTTGGAGCCTCTGTAGATCTTCTCGCAAAATTCCACTGCTGTAGAATAGCGTGTGATTCAGGTGCATGGTGTTAATATTAAGTGTTTTCCTAACTGATGGGCCTTTAGGTCTCTCCCAGCATTTTCCTTCAGGGAGCACGCCCACCCTTCTCATGCATCTGTCTGCCAGCCTTTAGGATGGCACAGAGAAGTAAAACTAATATTCTGTAAATGGGGATTTTCTTTATTTTCCTAATTCACCTTTAAAGACAGGCGGCTCAGTGAAGACAACGGTGAAGAATGTTGACTTTTGTTCATTTCCTAAATGGGTAATTCTAACAGGAAACCTAGAAAGGTATTTGGAAAGACATGTGTGTGTATGAAAGAGAGCTTTCTAATGAATGGCTGGTCTGGTTCTTGCATTTTGTCCATTCCCCCAAGCCTGCATTCCCCTCTCCGCAGCCTCCCCGCATGTCACCTCCTGTACAGCTGAGGCTGAAGGTCCACTGCTGAGACCAGCTACGTTGTGTGGGCATAGCCCACCTGCGCCCCCATCACAGGGTGGTGTTGCTTCTGGCACCAGCCTCTGGAAGCTGGCTTGATGTCTTCTCTCAGTCCAGGACATCAACATATCCCTGTGGCGCTTGCCGGAAGAGGTCAAGTCCGACAAGAGTGTCTTCATGAACCAGGGCGAGTGGGAGCTGCTGGGGGTGCTGACCCAGTTTCGGGAGTTCATGGAAAGCAGCGACTGTTACGCGGAAATGAAGTTCTACGTGAGTAGGACAGGGAGAGGGGTGGTGAAGTGGTGGGTGGGCCTCCGGGGCCGTCACACCCAGGCAGATGTAAGGAGACATCTGGGCTGAATCTCCGGAGCCCTTTCCAAGTCGGGGTCACGTGCATCCCCCGGACCTTCCGTGAGGTGGATGGGGAAGCTCACCTGCATTGTCCCTTACTTATCCTGAGCAGCCACAAGCCCGGATTCAGAGGCCGACTGTGAGGTCTGCCTTCTCCGAGCGCCCCAGGCTGAAGGCTCCGCAGACGGGGGGCTGGGCTGGGGGGTGGTCCCTGGGCACAGGCCCTGTCCGCCCCGGAGTCTCAGGAGCCCCTCTCCGGGTCCCAGGTGGTCATCCGCCGGCGGCCCCTGTTCTATGCTGTCAGCCTGCTGCTGCCCAGCATCTTCCTTATGGTCATGGACATTGTGGGCTTCTACCTGCCCCCCGACAGTGGGGAGAGAGTCTCCTTCAAGATCACGCTCCTCCTGGGCTACTCGGTCTTCCTGATCATTGTGTCTGACACGCTGCCGGCTACCGCCATCGGCACGCCCCTCATTGGTAAGGCGCGCTCCGGGCAGAGCCGAGCGTGGCGAGGAGCTGGCCCCATCCCACCTCCTGTGTGTCCTCTCCGCCCCGCCCTGGGCTGTGCAGGTGTGTACTTTGTCGTGTGCATGGCTCTGCTGGTGTTAAGCCTGGCGGAGACCATCCTCATCGTGCGGCTGGTGCACAAGCAGGAGCTGCAGCGGCCTGTGCCCGCCTGGCTGCGGCGCCTGGCTCCGGACAGGCTGGTCCCACCACTCTGCCGAAGGGGACAGTCAGCCTCCCCAAGGCCCCCAACCACCTCCCAAGCCACCAAAACTGATGACTGCTCAGGTGAGAAAGGGAGAGGGGACGTCCTGCAGAGGGACCCGGACACAGGGCCGTGGTGGGGCATCTCCGGAGCGGGAGCGCGTGACCTGCCCGAGAGCCTTGGCAGGGCCTGGGGATCCTGTGCTGTCCTGCACACAGCGCCCTCCCTGGGGGGAGGCGCACTTCAGCCGAAGGCATTAACCAGACCCTGTCTCCGCCTTCACCACCTCTCATCTGCCCGAGGGGGTGGGAGTCCTGAGCCCAGGACCCAGCTTCGGGAGCCAGCCCTCTGGGCTGGGAGTGGCCTCTCTCTGAGATGGTCCCAAAAGTGGGTTGAATGAATTAATGGATGTCAAATTGCTGGGGAAAGTCCATAAGTTAAGAAAACAAAGCCTGGGGGTACACACCCAAAGAGGGCATGACCCAGGAGGGGCCGTGGGGGCCTGCAATTGCTTGGGCTCCTTCATTTGCTCAAGCTGAGTGGTGGGCCCACAAATATGTGCGTGTGTCACTCTCCGCACTCTTCGTGTCTGCCGTCGTCCATAATGAGGACTTCTGCAGGGCTCGGAGACCTACGGGGCAGTGCCCGGGCCACCGGGCTGGGCCTCCCCGCCTTGCCAACGCGCTGCCCTTCTTCCAGACATGGGGAACCGCTGCAGCCCTCGGGGAGGACCTCAGGACTCGGAGGGGACCCCGAGGGGCAGGGGCAGCCCCCCGCCCGCGCCCCGGGAGGCCTCGCTGGCCACGTGCGCAGTGCTGCAGGAGCTGTCCTCCGTCAGGCACCTCCTGGAGAGGCGGGAGGAGGGCCGCGAGGTGGCCCGGGACTGGCTGCGCGTGGGCTCTGCGCTGGACAGGCTGCTCTTCCGCATCTACCTGCTGGTGGTGCTGGTCTATGGTGCCACGCTGGTCGCCCTCTGGTCCATCTGGCAGTGTTCCTGAGGGGGTGTGGCCCAGCAGGGCAGGGGCATGAAGACCCTGGTGAGGATGGGGTGGGAGGACTTCAGGGCCCAGGGGAGCCAGCGCCATTCCCAAGACGCCTGCGCACTCGCACCGCTGCTCCCAAAGCCAGCTCTCCGCAGCCCCCGCAGGGCCTCCACTCTTCCCAGAGCACTTGCGCTCAAGACCTCCACCTCCTGCCTGCCCCTCGTTAGCTCTGAAACATGCTGTCTCAGATCAGGAGAAGCCCGCGCATCCCCTGGCGTCGCTCTGTGTGCCTGTGTCCCCGGCCTCAGTGTCCCCACTGACACTCCTCTGAACAGGGCACTTTGGCGTTCCGTGCATCTCTCTCAATCTTGTTTTTAGATCGAAGGCAAACTGGCTCTCTGCCAACAGCAATGATAACTCAGCATGAGGTCTGTCTAACCCCACTGTCCCCGCCACCTCTAATCTCACTGTCTGGCACCTCTAACCCCAGTGTCCCCACCACCTCTAACCCCACTGTCTGTCACCTCTAACCTCAGTGTCCCTGTCACCTCTGACCCCACTGTCCCTGTCAGCTCTAACCCCAGTGTCCCTGCCACCTCTGACCCCACTGTCCCTGTCACCTCTAACCCCAGTGTCCCCACCACCTCTAACCCCAGTGTCCCCGCCACCTCTAACCTGTGTCCCCGTCACCTCTAACCCCAACGGCCACTTGCCCGAACACTCATGTTCCATCAGCTGGTGGGGTGGGATGGGGGTAATAAAATGTGATGAAGCCCTAGACTGTCTTCTTGACCATTTGCCAGCAGCCAGGTGGGTGGAAGAAGAGGTGAAGCCACCGGTAGACAGGAGGCTGGGGAGCCACCTGTGGTTTCAGTGTTTGGTGCTCCCTGCCCACGGACGCTGGGAGGTGACCACACAGTGGCCGTTATGAAAGGGAGCAAGAGAGGCTGGGGTCTGAGGTGGGGGGTCAGGACCATGCGCGCTGAGCAATGGAGGGGCGGGGAGGACTCAGGGCTGTGATGCCCTGGGAAGATGCTGGAAGCAACCACAGGCCTGTTGTCATCTGTGGTCTCTCAGGGACCCCGGGAGCAAGACCTTGCCCTGCAGGAGCATCTGGTATGGGGACAGGGACCCCAGCACCCACCAGTCTGAGGCTGGGAAGACAAGGTTTAAGTTCTTCCCCCTGCTGGGTAATGGAGGTGGGGGCCCCACCAGCAGCCAGCCCGGAGGCTCGTGTGGTCTCCGATCTCACACGCAGGCCCCCTCTGCCAGACATTCGGGTGTAAGACATGCGGAGGGGCACCCAATCCATCCATGTGACAGGCATTCAGAGGAAAGGTGTGCCAGGGCCCACGGGGGCCCCTTGTGTCTGCAGCGTCTGCCTGAGGCTCTCTGCCTCTCCTTTCTCGTCCAGCCTCACCCCTTGCCCGTCTCGGGCTGCCTGGCACTCAGACGAAGGCATGGTGAAGGGCTGAACATGGCCAGAAGGGTCCAGAAGGCGTATCTGGGGTGAGCTGTTTCAGGCTGGTCAGTGCGGACCCCCTGAAGCTCCAGCCCCTTGGGCCCCAGCTGCAGGTCGAGTTCACAGACCATCCCCGGAGGCCGGATGGAGCACAGAGCTCCGGGCCTTGGGCGCTTGGTGTCTGAAAGCCGGAAGCTGAGGGGAGCACGTGTCCAGTCTAGCCTCTCGGCCTCTTTGCTCCTGGGTTCCCTGCGTGCAGGACAAGTCACTAAGCAGTGTCAGGCTGGCTGCTGATCGCTAAGTGAACAGGACATGAGGCTCCACCTGCTGCGTCCACCCCAGACAGAGCTGCTTTTGATGTCAGTTCTGGGTTTTATATTTATCTTTATTGTGTTGAGGGGTAGATATCAGGGTCTCCCAGCAAAAAGCAGGAGACTGTGGGCTGGGCATTGGCCCCAATCATAATTCAGCTCAGTTGCTGAGCACAGATTGGGCTGAAGATGGTGATTGTTCATCCCAGTTCCCTCGGGAGAGTCGTGGCGGCCCAAGCTTCGGAGGCTCGTCCTGGGACAGAACCTGCGCCACCCCAGCAGGATCTGCTGGGCCAGTCATGCTGTTGGATGGTTTCACACATCAGGCCGGAGAGAAAGGTGGATGGCCCGGAACTGCTGGCCCCGCTGGTCAGTAAGTGGGTGGCTATTGACCAAGTGTCCGACCAGAGAGCTAGTGAGACACTAATCAACCTATTGATTCCCCGTCTCTGCCCTTCACCCACAGTCAGTGGGGCAACAGAGCCCAGCACAGACGCAGCCAGTTAACCTCCGGAATGAGCCGCATGTGTAACACCTTCTGCCCCACTCGCCGCAGCCAATTGGCCCACCGATCCAGCATCCGGACTGGGAAACTGAGGCTCAGGCCCAGAGAGCCCCCAGTTACTAACTGTTATCTATCAGCATTGGTCGTGGTCTCCTCCCAAGAGACCTTTGCCCTGTCCGGGATCTGTGACACCCAGATTCCCCTCCCATCTGTTCTGTCTTCCGGCACGGCCTTCCTCCCATCTTCCTGCCGCCTCAGCTCTGCCCCTCATTTCATCCTCAGCAGAGAGAGAACCAGGGGCCACCCAGTCTCTGTAAGTGCTCCCAAGCAGCTGGCCTCCCTGTCCCACCCACTCCCCTCCTGCAGCCTTCCCTATTCACCCTCAAAGACTCCCATCTCTTCCCTTCTTGTTCATTGTGGATAAAATGAGAGCTCCTGTGGCCAGGATTCTCACCTGGCCCTGGTTGACTAGCTCACTGCACACCTGTGGGCAATACATGGCTGTTGACTCTATATGAAAAGATCCACCCAGTACTCTGGGCACGACACGGTGGCAGGGCTGCAGGAGAGCAGAGCAGAGGCTGGAGTGGTGGCAGCACCGAGGACAGAGGCCTAGAGGCAGAGACCAGCTTGCTGCATGCAAAGTCACTCTGAGTGAACGGGATTCTAGTGACTGACCTGCCCCCTGGAAATAAAGTTGGGTAAAACCCTTTCACCCCAAAAATGTTTTGCTGTCAATTTCTTTGGTCACACTGAATCCATAGTGAACTTGCCCAGGGCTGAAACCCATTGGCAAGACACCCATCCACCCTGCTTCCAAACCTGGCATTGCTACTCAAAAGCTCTCATTAAAGGTCTTGAAAGCATGCAACCCACCCTCCAGCCCCTGAGGGTTCCCCCAGGCCACCTATGTTCCTGGAGGTGGGCAACCTGGGCTCCACAGCTGCAGGGCCCTGTGCAGGAGGGGGAGTCCCGCAGCTCCTGGACCTCCGGGGAGAGTAGCAGAGCTCGGAGTCGGGGTAGGGGTGGGCTTTGGGGAGACTGCCCCGAGAGAGTGGGGGAGCAGAGCTGCCTGGGGTGAGGGGGGTGCAGCTCAGCACTCCCCGCCAGGCTCTCCTCCCTCCCCGGCAGCCCCTCCACCACCCCGCCTCCTGCCTCCCCCAGCCTCTGAATCAATACATTTTGAATCTAATCTAATAACAGAGATTTAACGAGGGGATAATGCGTGTGGAGTGGCCAGGCTCTTTGTCTCTTCTTTCTAGCGGCAGCTGGGGCCCATTATCCGGGGACAATGCCCCGTGCTAATCACTCCCTCTCTCCTCAGAGCGTTGGGGAGGGGGTGGTGGCAAGAGAGGGCAGCCCCTCCCCTGATTGGAGGGGAGCAGAGGGGCAGAAGAGGGGGAGAGAAGTCGAGAGGGTCTGGACAGGCCCCACACAATTGTCTCAACCTGGCACCAGCTCGTTGGCCTCCTGCCCAGGCCCAGGCTGACCGTCCTGGCCGGTCGGGGTTGGAGCCCTGAATGCTCACAAACAGCAGATAATTACCCATCAGCTGCAGTAGAGTGGCTGGGAGTCGGGTGGGTTTTGCTGTTTGTGTGGGTTTTTTTCTTTTCTCTAACTTGGTCCTCTGTAATTTAAGCTCTCCCGTTAAGACGTGTGACTGGCCAGCCCTGGCTGTCATGGTCAGAGAATTAAACCCTGGTTCCAGAGACCAAGAATACGCTCTCTGAGAGAAGCCACATCCTCTCTCCTGTCTGTCTTGGCTCTTATAAATGGGCCTGACCTGCAGGACGGGTGGACGCTGGACTGCAGGAAGAACGTGCCGATGCCATCGTGTTCCACAGGGGCAGACTGGGAGTCTGAAGGGGAAGGAGCCGAAGGAGCCTTCATCCAGGCCGGGAAGGGGCAGAGCAGGGCTGGGAGGCCGGCCTCGACTTCCGCGCCAGAGCCTGAGCTGAGAGGGAGCCGGAGCCAGGACCCCGGACGCTGGGCGGCTCCTGTTCCTTTTCGTGCACACTTATCGGGACAATCTGGGTGCCATGTGGAGTGGGCTGCCCCGAATTTGAATGTTGACTCCGTCACATGCTACTGTGACCATGTGCACCTCAATCTTCTCGCCTGAAAAATGGGGATCATATCAGTGTCTGGCTCATGGGAATGGCGGGAGAGAGTGGGCGCCACACCCCAGTAAGGGGCAAAAGCCCAGAGAGGTCAGAAGGCTGGAGAAGAGAGTTCCTCCTCAGTCCCACCTCCCGTGTCCCTGTCTGCAAAGAGACTAAACTCTTGAAAGAGACGCACCCTGATGTGACAGCTGGGACTACGGGAGCCTCGGAACCCACTTGCCCGCGCCTGGGAGGGACCCCAACCCAAGACTCAGAAACGTCTACCCCGAGGCCCCCAAGGGCAGCCACAACCTTGTCCGCCTGAAGTCTGTCCACAAGGTGGCAGCAAAGTCCAGAAGTTCTACGGAGGGGCCTTTAGGAAACATTTTATTGCCCCCTGCCCTCCTCCCACCCCTCTGCAGGGGCCTCTGAAGCCCCCTTGCTCCAAGACCAGCCCTTTGGCCAGCACTAAGGATCGCGTCCCAGGGTGCTTGGTGCCTTGTTCTGAGCTCTGGGCAGAGGCTGGCTCACTGCCCCTCCCCCATCACACAGCTGTGGCCGCCCTGCTTCCCGAGCAACAGCCGCTCTCGCCTGCAGGCTGAGGCCTGGACCGGACGCAAGCTACACACTCAGTGGCTGTTCTTTCTGCTTATGCGATGACGATATTGATGCCTGATGGTAAAGAAGCCATTTTACCCAATCCTTCATATGCCGTCCCACGGAGGGCTCTCCGCCTCTCTCTCCTGCGCATGCACCCCTCTGGGGCCTGACTCCTCCGCTGGCTCTCAGATGTCCCCAGTGGTCCTAGGAATAGGAAGGGAAGGGCGAGGCTCTGCCCGGGGCAGGAGCTGGGGACGGGGCAGGAGCCAGTGGTCAGACAGGGAGCGTGGGACCTGGCGATACTCACCCGGAGGGTGGGGACCCCCGAGACGGACTTGGTTCCGAATAGGATTGATGACCTGATTTCTTTTCCTGCCCCGGGGCAGTGCCCATCACTCTGCTGGCCTCACCTGCTAGTCTGTCAGTCCTATCGGTTTCTGCTGCTGTAACAAATACCAACTTTTAAACACAAAGTGACTGTCGTAGCGTTCTGCAGGTCAGAAGTCCCGCGTGGACTGGCAGCGCTGTGTTCTTTCTGGAAACTGCAGTGGGGAGTCTCTTCCCCGGCCTTTTCTGGATGCTGGATGCCGCCCATATCCCTTGGCTGGTGACCCCCTCTCCCGGCTTCAGGACTTTCTGTTTTGTCACGCCTCCTTCTCCGACTCTTCTCATGAAGCCCTCTGGGACTCCCCAGGCCCAGCCAGATGACCCGGGGTGACCTCCCCATCTCAGGATCCTTGAATCAGTCACATCTGTGAAATTCCTTTTCTTGTAAGACAAGGCCGCAGGCTTGGGGATCGGGAGCACACAGCACTGTCCGCCACGCTGGGCAGGTCGGCTGTCCGCTCACCTCAGAGGCCAGTGCAGCCTCCCTGCCTCCTGGGACTGCTGCGAGGGCCGGCAGAGCAACGCCCGCAGAGGGTTCAGCACAAAGCAACGCTGGTGAGTTTTAACAATGGATTCATTATTGCTCTTAGGTATAAATCTGGAAGCTTCCTGCCCTGGCCCCTGCATCGCAACACTGAAGTGTGGTCCGTCTTAGACTCACTTACTTCTTGTGTGTAAGAAATATACTTTCTTTTAGGCAAAGTTCTTCTGGGAGATAGCTTTGTGGCGAAGAACACTGAGCTAGTTTATATATATATATATAACTTTATATATATATATATATAAAACTTAGGAGAAAGGGTATGAAAGCAGAGCCCCAGAGACAGAGTCCAGGGCCCCGCCTGGCAAGAGTACAGGATGGAGGCAGCGTGTCTTCCCCTTCCCCTCCCGACTCCCAGGCTCTGCTCATCTCCGTGGGTAGAGGCGCTTGACAGTGGTAAGGGCCTCTTGAGGCAAGAGGTGTTAAACACAGAGTGGGCTGTGGATCCAGTCCACCTTCTTTGTCTGAGAAAGTCCACAGAGGCAGGGGGATGGACGGGATGACCTCTGGAGGACCTTCCCCACTTCAGATCCAGGAAATCCTGCCTTTGCATGGAGGTGGCACCTCATCACAGCGCAGGCCTCCACTCCGCGTGTGCCCTTTTCTCTTTGCTGACACATCCGAGGTCCTGCCCTTTCACCCAAGGACTCATTTTTCTGGTTCTCACTAATGAAACTCATACCTATCTGCACACCAAGGGTTCGTGCCCCTCCAGAGCGTGGAGGGGGCGGGCAAGCATTGGCCACGGCCGCAGCCCCTCCAGCCGGCCTCCCTTCGCTCCCTGGGTCTTGTTCATGTATTCGTGGTTGGGCAGGGGAAGTCACGCAGCATCTATCGGGCTCCCACCCTGCAAGTTCCCAAGGGCAGGGATGCCTCTGCTCACTGCTGGGCACCTGATTCTGGTCCACGCCTTGCGTTTGGTGAGCAAACCAGTGAATGAGCCGCGGCTGGGGAGAGACATCTTCGTGCATCATCTGAAGTGCCTTCTCTGATCTAGTCCTCGGCAATGTCGTCCCTGCAAGCTTGTGTGGGGAGCACGCAGACATGTGAGAGAGGCCCAGGCAGCTGGGAGCAGCGGGGAATCTTGAGGAGGGGGTGGCCATTGAGGCCCCTGATGTCACTTCCTCGGTGAACATTCTCTGCGACCTTTAAGAGAAGGAACTTGCCTCCAGAGCGTCCACACTGAGCCCTGGTGGGTTGGGGCTCTATCTGCCCAAATTCCACGGTGGGGACCGCCAGCCTCCTACTTTACCCCTTACCTAACGTGCGCCTGGCATGGGACAGGGGCTCAATACCTGCTGAGTGAACGAAGGTGGCAGTGGTGTAGATTCTGTGTGAGTCCCTTTCTGCTAAGGTTGGCTAGATAATTTATCACCCAAACCAGAGGATTTCTGTCCTGGAAATGGAGGCACTATTAGTAATTGCACAGCGACACACTGCTGTAAAGTGGGGCTGTTCCGGGCAAGCAGGATGTATGGCCACCTACTTCTTTGGGGTCTCCCTGTCCCCCTTCCATGGCTGAGTCCCTTCCCTGGGTTTTCGGCCTCAGCTGGGAGTGCTTCCTGCAGATTCTAGGATCAAGAGATCTTAGGCTGGGGAAGGAGAGGCCCCAGCGCTGCCCTCACCTCGTGGGGTCATGGTTTTCCTCCTGAGGTTCGCCTCAGAGGTCAGAAAGACTTCCTGTGGGGTCACAGGTCAAATGCCGCATGTCCTCAACACAGCTACAGGGGAGCTCTAGCCGGGCCTCTGCATCCAGGTCCTGGGAAGAAGGATGGGCTGATTGTGGAGCAGGAAGCAGTGCCGGCAGCCCCGACAGGCGGTAGCTGGGAGGGCCCGGCCCCCGGCCCCCGGCCCCACCATCATACGCACGTGATTCTGGAGACCCCTCCGCCCCACAGAGAGGAGATGCTGCGCTCTGCTTGCGTGTGGGGTGGGGAGGGGCGCGGTGTGGAGGTGGCTTGAGCCATGGGGTTGAATGTTGCCTAACCGGGCTGGATTGACAAGAAATCCCCAGGTAATCCATTACCTTAACCATCTACTTTTCCTTAACAATCCCTTTCGTGGAGGAGGAAACCCATACGCCCCACCTTAGGTAAAAAGAAAGTGCAATTTCATTGCAAAAGTGGAAAATGGATTTGGGTCTTTTCCTAGCTTCCTGACAGCTGGGGTGGGCCTGGGGTGGGCCTCCAATGTTTGGGGGCAGAGCAGAAATCACCCTGGGGCCAGGCCATATCTGAGCAGTAGCTCCTCTAAATGGTTTGACGATGGGGAGACAGTGGGAAACAGGGGTGAGGCCAGAGTCCCACCAGTCTACTGTGCTGATGCTGGGGATTGGGGTCAGCCTCACCGCCCCCCCATCTCCTGCATGCCTCGGGGCCGCAGCTCTAGAGGACTGCTGGGCAAGCTGCATGTGCCGGACACTGTACCCTGACAGGGGCTCCATTCACACGGACCCCCATGTTAAAGCGCCCCTGGAGTTGGGCCACCCAGGAAGCCCTGGGCACCAGGCTTTACACATGCTAGTCCCTCTACCTAGAATGTCGTTCTGTCAAGTTCCTATTCAGCCTGTAAGACCCAGCTGAGATCTCCCCTTGGTTATTACGCCTCCTTCTCGGGGCAGCCACGACACTGCACGTACCTCTGTTCCGCGGTTTACTACACGGCATTGCAATGATCTGTTTGAGTGTCTGTCTGCACTGTTCTCACAATCCTCAGCTTCCTGTCTGCTGCTCCCTGCGTGCAGCGCCGGCCGCATAGAGGCCCTGAGTGAATGATGTGGGCTGAGCTCTGGAGCCGGAGGGATGCGGTACCACTGTGCACTCCTCCTTCGTGAAAAAGATGCTGTGGCCCAGGGAGGCGGAACAACTTGTCCATGGTCACTCCAGGTCTTGGTGGCAGTGCATGGGAACCTGATGGACAGGCCAGGGCAGCGACAAGCCCTTCAATATGCACAGTCAGGCTTCTAGGAACGGCAGTGGGGTGTTCAGAGAACCCCTGGGAACGAGAGCCCAAACCCTGTTTCTGGCAGGTCACTCCCTCCTGTCCGCTTCCCCCGACTCACTTCTCCACGATGGGGATTTTAAAGGCTATTTTGACTCTCTGTTGTAATAAGAAACTAGCAATTAACTATTACAAGGCTCTTTTACAATTGTGTGGAAGCCCCTTTTATCCACTTTGCTTTAAATGGTTCTATCTTTTATCCCTAGTTTTCAGGAATATAAAACTTAACAGCATTTGCTGCAAACCTTCATACTTTGCTTGGCACTTTATCGCTCCCTCTGCAGATACATCTTCCACATAAATGAGACTTTCATCTGTACAGGGCTGGGCTTGGGCCCCTGTGGCTCTGCACGACGTTGTCCATGGAAACTGGCCTTGGACACAAGGTGATTCACATGGAGCCACTGGCCTGGTTGGCCCCCCTCGGTCCCTTGTCCTCTGTTCAGGGTTGGATCTACAGCTCAGCCATGACGGAGATCACAGACCCCAAGGAGAGGGAGACACAATGAGGGGCTTAAAGGAGGTGCTCACCCCTCACTGCCTGGTCTGAGCACCAGGCTGCTGTGTTCACCAGCCAGGAGCATCCTGGCCTCTCCCATCCTCGGGCAGGGAATGCTCCCTAGAGTGTCTGGGCAGCAGCAAGCTTCTCCGGAGCCGCCCGAGGTGTGCTTGGAGCGGAGCAAGCCAAGTTCATGGACTGCCGCAGCCCTGGCCCTCCGGAGGCGTCTTCCTGAGGGCCTCTCGGAGCAGAGGTTCCTAAAACAGATCCCGTGGCCAGGAGGCTGTGCAGGTGATTCCAACCCCAGGTGAATTCCCCGAGCGTGAGCTGAGTTTCTGGTATTTAATCTGGAGTGTCTGGATCAAATGCAAAAATGGATGTCACATCCTGTGGTGGCCATGAGATGCGCCACCCCCAGGCTCAGAGGCGTCGGTGGGCAAGAGCTCCAGCTGCTGCCCCGAAATCCATGGCATTTGTGCCAAGGCCGTGCCTCCCGAGGGCCGCTCCTGGCTGCTGACCGGGTTTGGTGGGACGCTAGGAGGGGCGCCTACCTGGGGGACTGGAGTGGGGGGTCCCGCCCCAAGATCGCCTTGTGCACACCTCCCACAGGCTCACAGAGCAGGCTGACAGCCCCCCGCCCCCCGAGCTGCCTGCTCCTCCCGCTCTTCCGACAGAGGCGTGTTACCTTCTAAAATCTGTGCGGCTGCAGCCCACAGTCTCCAGGGCCACAGTGTCACATCTTTACATGGCATGTGGACACTGCCGGTTATAGTCATGTAACTGGTATGTTATGGGGTTGGGGGGTCCCAAACCAGCCCAAGCAGCTGTAGGGTAGGTGGGAGTGGGGGGAGGGGGTAGCTGTGGTATAAGGAGAGGTCAAAGGTACACATTTGGGAGCCATACCACCCGGGTCCGATCCTGGCTCACTCATGCCCTAGCTGTACGGTCTTGGCAAGGGTGCCCACCCCTCGGCGAGGTATTCCCCGCTGTGCGGTGGCCTTCATCACAGTATGCAAGTCATTGCTCTTGAGCTGCTAAAGCAATCAGCCTGTGAACAGGGCCCCCACACAGCGTGCCCTGGCTGAGGGGCAGCGGTAATTACGTATTACTGTATCATTTCTAGGGGTGGGCTTCCTTCAGCCCCCATCTCCTCACCACTCAGTGGGGCTCAACCGCTCTCAAGCAGAAGTGGTCCTGGCCTCCTGCTGGGGGCTCCCAGGAGGGACGGAACAGGCAGAGACGGCTGTGTGTCTGGAACATGCCCCGACCACCTGCCTTCGCCTGCGTGCTGTTAAGTGCAAGGAGACACCAGATCCTTGGGATTTCGGGCTGGCAGTGCCCCGGACAGATCTCTGTGGCCATCCCTCTGTCTTCAGGCGGCCCTTTGGCATATCCTCTGCCAGCTCCAGGCCCTGAAGAGTCAGGTGATGGCATGTGGCTGCCAGGAAGCTTTATGGTGTTTTGTGCCAGCTCTAACTTCTATTTCGGGACCCACAAAGGTCAAAGTCAGCCCCTGCCTGCAGAAAAGGCAGTGTGTGAGCCAGGAGCAGCTGGGATCCGCACCCTCCTGGGTCCCACTAACCAGGAAGCATGAACCTCGAGCCCATCAAGCACAGGGCCTGACATAAACCAGCTCCGAGCCCTGAGGGGCTGCTCTGTACAGGATCCTTGATGAGCCCAAAGCACAGAGAAATACAGCTGCTCAGCACATTCTGGGGCTCACCTGCCTCCCGTCTCCCATTCCCTCCTCAACCAGTGGAGTAGCATGGTTAACAATTAAATACGCAGCAATTTAAAACTGCCCTGCAGCGGGATCTCGCCCTGAACCTCTGCTGCCTGCTCAGGCTGCTGTTCACTCCGCAGGGCCAGGCGCCTCACCCTACTGATACTCTGAAAACCCGCCCAACAAACACTCATGAAGGAAGCTGCAGGGCCAGTGGGTGCTCGGGGCCGCTGTCCTCGGCCTCTGTCCCCTTGCAAAGGAGCCCAGGGCAGATGGAGCTCGCTTCCGCTCTGCCCTGTTTCCCGGGGGCCTTGTGGATTTGCAGGTGACCCTGCCTGACCTCATGGTCTCCAGGTAAGGACCCCACCCAGGTGCCCTGCAGAGGGAAGCCAGTCGAGGTGGCGGGGGAAGGACACCAGATCTGGGATCCGAAGCCTTGGGTTTCAATCCCTGGCCTGCCACTTCCTAGGTGTGTCCGTGGAAGCCAGCGGTCCTCAAAGTCTGGTCCCCAGGCAGCAGCATCCACATCGCTTAGGAACTTGCCAAGATGCCGGTTATCAGGCCCCACCCCAGAACTACTGAGCTGGAAACACAAACTGAGCCCAGGCGTCTGTGTTTGAACAAGCCCTCCGGGTGGCCTGGTGCACGTGGAAGCCCCACCCACGTGTCATCACTTCCGGGCCCAGACTTGCTTCCCGCATCTGGAGAATGGGGAGAAGCTTTGGATCTGTAGGTGGCTGTATGTATGAAACAAGAGGACAGTGTGTGGAGGTGCCTGGCGCCATGCCCGTCACACAGAAGCTGCGCCAGCACATTGCCCTGGGGAGCTGGGGGTGCAGGGCTGCCGCAGTGCCTGGGCCCCACTTGTGCTCCACGGAGGTCACTGGCCCGGCTTGGAGAGATGCTGAGCCAGAGCTCATTTCACCATCAAAGAGGCCGGGCGAGCAGGTGCTGCTGCCGAAGGTCTAACTGAGCTACAGGCTAAAAAGAAAAGGGAGGGAGTGTTGTGCCCGAAGTTTCGGGTCCCTGGGGTGAATAGACAAGTCCAAAGCCAGCAGTGCAAAGGCACAGAGGAATTTTATTGTTAGCTCGGGTGGAATTTTCCAGCCTGGGGTCGTGCATGCTTTGACAGCTCAGGGATTCTCTAGGCCTTGTCTCTACAGGAGGAAACCCAGAATAGGGAACAAAAGAAAGTGTGAGATCGAAGTGGACGGAAGGTGGGCATGAGAAAGGAGTGGGAGTAGCATGTGAAGTGCCACAGTCACTGGGCTGGTGCTGGTGACAACAGCCGCCCACTGCCCATGCAGGTGTGACCAGCGAGGAAGGCCTCTCGCCCCTGCCACCTGCAGACACAGTGTCTGGCCCCGGGCACAGCGCCTTGGTCCCCCGTCTCCGTCGTTGTCAAGCTTATTAGGCACTATTGTGTTCAGCGTGCCAGCGACAGTTTTCAAGGAAGGGAACCCATTCTCTGCCTTCTAAGGTATGACTGTCTGATAACTTGGGAAGAAAGGGTGCTCTGGCACCTCAGACGGCTCATGTCCCTTCCCAGAAGCTGCACCGGCTGCTGTCGTTTGGCTATGGGGGTGGTCCTGTGGGACCATCTTTGTATGTTGGTGAGAAGAGAGAATGAGAGCACAGGAGAGAGAGTCAGGTGCGTGCTAGTGGGTGGCAGACTGATCTAGAAGGCTGTGCGGTGCCTCTGCTGCTTTCCCGCTTCAGTGCCGGGCTCTCCCAGGCATTCGGAAACAGCCACACCCCACAGACTCCAGGAACCCGGAATTCCAGAATCCCAAGGCAGGCTTGGGCCGTAAGTCTTCACCTGTCCGTCCCTCTGCCTCAGGACAGGACTGTCCTCAAATAACCCTATGCGCTAACTGTCCATCCTCCTTGCTAATGCTCTCCACGACCTTCTGAGCTTGAGTGGTTCCAAGCATGAAAAGCAATCACAAAAGCAGCTACTATCTATTGTCCACCTCACGCCAGCACCGTGCTGTGCAAACTGCCCACAGACACACTGTTTTTCACCATAACACTGCAGAGGGGAGGTATTCATCCTTGGCTTTATTAGGGAGAGAAAAGGGCCCAATGAGGTCATGTAACTTGCCCAAGGGCATGTGGGAAGGAGCAGGTCCAGAGTTGGAACCCAGTTCTAATTCCAATGCTCTACCCACAGTGTTACCCAACCATGGAAGTTTTCCCCTGGATCTACCCCCTCTTCACTCATTCATTCGGTTAACATATATTTTTAGCACCTACTATGTACCAAGCACTGTGCTGGGAGTTATAGCTCAACGAGATTCCTTCTGTTTCTGTGTAAGCCGGTTCTTTCTTATCCTTATTATTTAGGGGAAAAGATGCAAGCTGATCAGTAAGTGATTATTTGTGGGGGTTGAGTCAAATAGGGGAATAAGAAAAATCTGAAAAAAGTTGCTTCAGGTCTTTAATTCTTTGTTTGTTATTCCCACACACCTCTCCACCAGGTTGGGAGAAAGATCAGCGTTATCTTTGAATAGATGGGGGAACCAAGGGCAGGTCTTCAAGGGGTAAGAGGAGACATCCTACACGGCAGACCCCTAGTGTCTGGAGATGTGGGAGGTGTAATTTTATCTATGTTGGTCTAATATCCCTCAAAGAGTGGGAATTCCTAGCCCCTACCCTCACCAAAAAAAGGAAAGAGAGAAAGAGAGGGAGATGGAAGGAAAGAAAAAGAGAGAAAATTGAAAAGGAAGAAACAGAGAAAGTCTGTTTGGGGATGGCTCAGGAGTTCCATACTGGCCTGGGGTCACTGGTCTCGGGTGGCCGGCCATGTGACAGTTTTGCTCAGCTATCTGCCACTAATCCAAGTTTTACATGCCTTTCCTCTAACACCACCCCCTGAAGGGCTCCGCTGGCCTTCAAGAGGCGCTAAGGTCTGCCCAGTCACTTGGGGTAAAAATAAGGAAGTCAAGAGGAGACAAATGGCAGATGTGTCCCTCTTTATGCAACAGAGAATTACAGACACTGACCTTTTCCAAGGAGACTTCCAAAGTGTCACTGCTGTGGAAGCAGGCTGGCTTGCCCGGGGCTGTCACAGGCTTGGAGTTGGCCCAGAAGGGGGCTCTGTCAGCCCCAGGTGGGTTGTTGTTTCACACACCTGCCCTCCGCTGGGGCCGGCTTCGCTCCGTGTTGGTGAGCCCGGGAAGGAAGACGTTAATGACCCTTCTGGTGATTGACAGTCCACTCGTCCCTAGGCTGCCCAGCTCCCAAACTGAGAGGGCCAAGTGGCTCTGGACCCCAGGGATTGGTGAAAAGCCTCCTTCCCTTCTTGCATGACAGTGAGCAGCTCCCCCTCACCCCTAAATGATAAATTCCAATAGATTACACTTGAGATACTGGCCTCCACCACCTGCCGGAGGGGAGGAAGCGCAGGAGAAAGGCATTAACGGAGGCATCTCTCTGAGGATGAAGCTGGGAACCTGATGCTAGAAGCAGCCCTTGGCATTAGGCCCCTTGAAAATGCCTGTTGGTGTAAGTGGCAGATTCTGGGAGCTCTGGAATCTAGAAATGACCGAGGACTGTGGGTGCAAGGCGGACACCCGTTGTGACTTTGATCTGTGCCTGGAGCTATTTATTAAACAGCCAGCCATGGGGCACCTAATATATGTCCCCGAGACAGTCTGTGCCCTCGGGCTGTGATAGGACAAGTCTCCCAAGTCTCTCCAGGAAGGGGGACCTGGTACACTTGCCCAGCCCGTTCCCTCCCCTGGTCCTGAGTGTTTGGGCTTCCCCCTCTCCCCATTGCTCCGGAAAACTCACGGGATTCGGTGACTCTGCCGTTCAGTTAGTAGTGTCACACCGATGTCAGCATCCTGGTTTGACGGCCGTGCCACGGTCACGCAAAATGTTACCGGGGGGAAGCGATGAACAGTGTGTGGGAATCCTCTGTACTATTTTTCCAATGTTTCTGACTGTCTAAAATTAGTTTAGAGTACGTTTTTAAACCAGGAAGTCCCACTGGGAGTTCCGTTGCTTTCTGTCTGTCTGCCTCTTTCTCATCTCTATCATTCTGTCTGTCTTTCCGTGACCCGTTTAATACCACCTTGCCCCCTGCTATCTGTCCATGCCCCCCTCGGTCTGTGTCTCTGCCCTTCGTTCCTTCTTCCCCCAGAATCTGTCCTCCTCCCCACCTGTAAACACTTAATCAGTCCCCAAACTGTTCAATCGACCTCCTGAATATCTGTCAGGAATTCCCTCCACTCCAGCTCCACTTCCAGAGCCCCTGGGCCAGCACCCACACCCCCCAGTCATCCCGATCCCTCCCGCCGCCTCCTCCTTGTCGCCCCACCCCTGGGGGCTGCAGCTCCCACCAGGTGGCCCCGATTACCAGGGGATCTGCACCACCTGCTGGAAAAGCCCGGCCTGCATCAGGCTCCGCACATTTCTCCAGCTCGGCTCCCCGTCAGCGGCCGCACAGAAGGCCGGCAGGAGCTTCTGCGCATCACGAGAAGAGCAGGGCTTCTCCCCGCCCCCCCACCCGGCGTGGCCAGTGAGGTGCGTGTCGCCTCTCTGAGGCTCTGGGGCTGGGTGTGGATGAGGGAGCAGAAGGGAGAGAGGCGTTTATTTCAGCACACGCAGGGGGCCTGAGAAAGACAAGAGGCGCCTGCTC